GGCAATGCAGGGAATCTATGGGCAGAATCGTAGTCATCATCCTCATCATCCTCCCTGCAGCCATCCCTTCTTGCGCATCCCTGGATCACCTTTTTGCAGACGTAATCGTTGGGCAGGTACACCACGGAGCGGAGCCTCTTGAGCATGTCGAAGATCATCTGCCGGTCACAACCCTGAAGGGAAGACAAGCAGAAGGCCATGGAGAACACAACCAAAGCACCATCAACAGATGTCATATTGCAATCTGAACTTTAAAGCTTTTGGAAGGATGGGGTTCCAGGCTCTTGGAGAACTACTCCAAAGTTCGGACTAAAATCCGGAATGGATGCCCACAGCAGAGGGAAAACGCAGGTTAATAATAATAATAATAATAATAATAATAATAATAATACCTGGAAGAGCGGCACTTTGCTGACAATATCATAGTTCACGTCAATGGCGATATCCAGCCGCATCTTCTCCGGCAATTGCATCAGCAGCTCCGATTCATCTGTCGCAAAGCACATCATCACAATCTCATTTGCCTTTGCCAAAAAGATGGATTGCTGTGGCTCAATGCTATGGCATCCTGGGAGTTATAGTTTTGCAAGGTCTTCTCCCAAAGAAGACCTTACTTCGACTTTATGCCTAACTTTTGTTTGTGTATTTTAATCTATTCACATTATTTTCGAACTGCTTGTGTCTTTAGGCACTGCACCCAGTGTGCCGATCACCACTGGGACCACCTGGACTGGCTTGTGCCAATCCTCACATTGTGTATTCTTATTGTTGTTGTTATTATTATTATTATTTTACTGACACAAAAGCACAGAATGTCACAGCAAACGAGATCTGTATGCTGGATTTCATACCACAAAATCACAAGTTGAACACTTCCCAAGGGTCTAGGACTGAGTGATGTATTTTTGAATTATGCGTGCCAGATCCAATCAGGTTGCCTAATTATTATTATTATTATTATTATTATTATTATTATTATTATTCTCCGCCAAGGAGTGCTCTCTGCCTCCCCAAACTACAGCTCCCAGGACTCCATAGCATTGCGCCATGGCAATTAAAGTGCTATTAAACTACTTAATTAATTAATTAATTAACTAATTAATATTTCAGGTTCCGATATTAAATAAATAAGATTTTTTGCAACACTGGAACAGTACAGATGAAGATATCAAAGAAATGTCAAGCAACCAAAAAATAATAATAATCTGGGATTAAAAAATATTAAATATTTCAGGTGCATCATTGGTGGAGTTCAAAATACAGCAGGTGAACTATACATCCCAGGTCCAACAAGATCTATAAATCATGGTGAATTCTCCCCAAACCTCTCTAGTATATTCAGTTGCGGATCAATTCCCCTGTTTACTGTGTGCCAGAGAAAATAATATGGAAAGGTTAAGGGAGTGGCAGTGGGCGGGGCCATGCAAATTCCACACCAGTGGAGAGAGAAAGGAACACTGGGATGTAGTGCTCACTCTAACCTGCATTGCCAGTGGAGGGAGGGCCACTGGTGTTTCCTAAGTAGTGGGAGCTGTAGCTGTTTGTCTGAGTAAGTGGACACTCCAGCCACATACACACATACATATATTCACTTTTATTATATGTATAGATAGATAGATAATTATTTACTTTATTTCTAGCAGTCCTCCGAACGTCTTACCCAGCATGCCTTGTGAGTGCCAAGTGTATTCGTACCAGGTCTTGACCCGGTTCTGGACGGAACGCGGGATGTTGTAGAAAGCCATGTATTGGACCGTGTTGTCCATGCAGGTCCGGTAGTAGGTCTGTCCGGCGGTGGCCGCGCTGACCACGTCCCTCATCTGTACGGAAGCAAGAGGGGAGCCTCTTTGAGTCATGACTTCCTCTCCAAAGGATAGGATTCGGAGGGGACCCTAAAGGCCATCTAGTCCGATCCCTATGTGCCACGCAGGGAGGCACAATCCAATCCCTCCCGACAGATGGCCATCCAACCCCATAGAGAAATGGCACTATAGAATCCTATAGCTTACCTGTCCAATCATGACGGAGAAGGCGAAGACGCCGGTGAAGTAGTTGAGCATCTGGAAGGCGATCTCAAAGACGTTGCTGGGGTCCGGCAGCCCCCCAATGGTGATCAAGGTCTTGA